CACCGACCGCGCACGTTCCTCTGTGAGGCGCGCTGTCTGTTCGACCGAATCCAACTCCTTACCGAGAAAAGAGATCCTCTGCGTCGCCAGCGAGACGGGCTGGGTAGCGCTGACCAAGGGCCCATTGCACCTGCTGCCTTATTATACTCACGCTGTGATCAGCGGCAGCTGGATGCAATAATTGCATGCCAATGTGCATTGGCTCGTTTAGTTTACACTCGAAGTAGATTGGTCTATCGAAGCAATATCCCAATTCGTCGGTCACGACGTGACTCGTAGTGACCGACTGAAAGGGAACCATTTTTCTCTTGAAGCAACTATAATGTAGTATACAGTATTTGACACGTCACAACTTAAGCCGATAAGTTTTAGAACAAACCTAATGTCAGTCAAGAGTCAAAAGCTCAAGGATTGTGTTCACTATTTAAGTTATGTGTGGTTTTCTCAGGTAACTCATGTTCTATATTAGTATCGGAACACCTGAACTCTACTTTATCAAATCTACTTTTCTCTTCCCAGATCTGTCATACCATTTTTATACAGTAGCACAACTCCGGCATTAGGCATACTACGTTTTTTTTTTTTTACCTCTACAGCTGTTCTGTAGGTGTGTTTGTAATGTCGAAACATACAGCAAAATATGCTTCAACATTTTTTCAAGCTTGGTAACAACATCAGCTTTTCCTAGTTCTGCCACTTTACACAGATATAGTCCAAATGATTTTTGACACTCTTAAAAAGCTGTTTTTCAACAAGGTATCAGTAAAATGAGATGCTTAACCAATGGATGTCAAACTAAATATCATGTTTGTTTTTACATTACATTCACATTGATGTTGTCATTAAAAAGGCTCAGAACGTTGTTTCCATAGTTACATTGGATAGATAACAAATGGTTGTAGATTACATTATCATTTAGTAGGGGCTAGTTTGGAACCATATGTGGATTTTTAGCTAGCAATCCAGCAACTTTTCATATGATGCAATTTTTTTTCCTTTTATCTGTTTAATTTAAATATTTACTTAAAGGGGTCATATGACGTTGCTAAAAAGAACATTATTTTGTGTATTTGGTTATCTCTTTGGGTTTGAGACTTTAATCTTTGCGACTTTACGGATCTTCTGTATGCACAAACAGCTTTTAACACTCCAAAGACAAAGGAAAACATGAAATCGCATCATATGACCCCTTTAATGCTTATTGCTAAAAAAAAAAAAATTGTATTTAAAATTTGTATGTAAAAATTGTATTTAGGGTTGTAAAAATTACAAACATCATATAAAATGAATAGAAATTTAAACCAGATATATTTAAAAAATGTATAATTTCATATACATGTTATTTATACTTTGAATTGATTAGTAAATTTTTGAAAAGAGTCTGCTCAAAAACCTCAATTCCGAATATTATAAAACCAAGACATGTCATATTAATTGAATATATATGCCGATAATGATTTGTTTTTCACTTTGACAGCCCTCATTAACCAACAGTGATATCATGTTTGTGAAGATTCATGCACCGTGGGACACGCTGTGTAAATATGCTGAGCAGATGAACATTAGAATGCCCTTCAGGTAGAGATTACTGTCACCATACTTCATACTGTACTGTATGTGAATGCATTGTGACCATGTGATATGTATTTTTTTATAGGAAAAAGTGTTACTTCACAGACTGGAAGAAAAAAACTATGGGCAGGTAGGATATTGCAAAATTCTTACTGTTCTGTGTTTCCACATATTTGGCTGATAGTTAATTATTTCATTTTATTTGCATTAAAGTCAAAAACATCTTCAGCATCTCAATTTTGTTAATTTTCTTGAAATTTAATTTGAGTCAGACTTTAGCTGTGGGGAATAAAAATTGTATAGAGTTAATTAGCCCGATATTTGTTGTGCATCTCAGGGGACGAAATCACCTCTGATTTAATCAGGCTTGATTTAATTTGCATCAGAAAAGAATTCAATTCTAGAAGTGACTGTGAGTGAAATGAAGAAACTATGATTAACAACTCTGCTCGTTGGAGTTATTTTTTCTCTGCTTGTTGGACCTTATTTTTGACAAATGCTAATGCAAACGTTATGTCTACAGCCGATTTCAGTTGAGATTTCGTCAGCTGAAGAGCTGGCTGCCCAGAAACCCCATGAAACTGGATAAAGAGGCGTTACCAGACCTGGAGGAAACCGACTGCTACACCGCCCCCTTCAGCAGGGCCAGAATGCACCAGTATGTCCCTCTTCCATGACCTTGTTATAATTAAATTTCACGTCTTCTCAGATAATATCATATATTTTACGTATACAGAACAAAAAATTTCATTGCTCGGCACCTTTTGTTATCTGGGAATATGATACTGCAATTATATAGCCATGGCCTCATATACATTTCAGCCATGGTTTGCTAACTGAGGCTGAAACCACAATCTCGCAACTTTCATCCAGCAATGAGCTCAAGGGACTTCAGAATCCACCACAGATTTTAGCCTCAGCTGACCCTTTTAGAGCAGATTTTATGATGGAGGCACTTTCAGACCATGTTCTTGATGTACTTGAGCCTGATGACTGTTTGTGAATGTATGAGTCATTGGTTGCTGACGTTTATTTTATAGATCAGAGATCAGTGTAAATGCATGACTTCATAAAAAATTGTGTCCTGGGGCAGTAGAGTTAGTGAGTTAGTTTTTGTTCAGTAAGTGCTGTTAGGAAGGGTTTATTTGAGGCCGGCCAGAGGTTTTGTATGGACAGACATGTTGCAAGAGGGCAAGTAGGGTTTAACCTGAACAACAACTTGAAACACTCTATGCAGATATCTTTCTAATGCACTGCAGTGTCAAAAAAAAACAAAAAACGAGTGATACAGATGTTATTTTTCTTTTCCCCCACAGTAGCTGAATACCGAGTTTCATCAAACCTGTCAAAAATGTCATATTACTAAAAAAAAGAATTGAAATTTTTTTTTGCATATATTATTTAGTCTTATTTATACTTTTATAATTATAAATATTTTGATTTAGCTTTTGTATTTTTTCTTTTTTTCTTATTTAATTTGAGTTTTTAGTAATTTTGTTGTGCTTGTAATTTTGATTAAAATACGATTTTTAAAAAAAAAAATTCTATTTAGATTTCATTTTATTTCAGAGTTAATTGTTTATTTATTTTTTTATTTTTTTGAAATTTTAGTACTTCAACTTTTGCAACGTCAAAATGTGTATTTAGAGCACATTTCCTAAATTTGCATTTGCTTGTAATCTAATTTGTGATAAAGTTTTACTTTTGAGTTTTAAAATTCCCTGAGATGGGAACGAGGCACTGCGTCCAAATGATGACACTATGGGGAATACCTTTGCGTGACTGAAACACGTGTGCAACTACTCCAATCCTGATTCACGAGTTCGCACTTACATATAATTGGATTGAGCAAATAGTATGTATATTTGGCGTGCTGTCCTGAGGGTGGGCTCCGAGCTCGGAATATAGCCCAAACTCAGAGAACTCCCCCCATCCATAATATGGGATGAGAATAGTTTAATAGTGAGGAGTTGGGGTGGAGGAGGGATACCGGAAAACTGTCGTGGGACAGAGGTAAACGTATTGTGCTAGTTAAGCTGATTAACTAAACGAGTTCCACCTGAGCCGAATTGGTTGATTATCTGATCGTGCTCCTCCCGAACCTTGTTAATAAAGCATAATTTGGTGATGCTTCACACATGACGTGTGATGGTGCGGAAGCTATATAGTATTGCCGCAACCAGTATTGTGGTTAACGCATTACGTAATGCAAGTTATGTAATCAGATTACTTTTCCCAAGTAACTAGTACAGTAATGCATTACTTTAAATTTACAAGAAAAGAAAATAAGTAATGCCAGTTACTTTGTTTTCCCATTTATTCACTGACACCTCTCCTGTCCCCTTGTTGGGAGAAATTTTGTGTGAAGTGCAGAGGCAGAGGCACTTTCTTTAGCCTACTGCTTATTAATTTCACTTTTGGTGTGAAAGGGCCTTTACAGTTGCCAAAATTAGAACTTTTTTTATTTTTATTTTTTTATTAAAAATAAATAAGCAAGCCCAGCTCAGGTGACAAAAGTAATGTAATGAATTACTTTCCATAAAAAGTGGAATTAGTTACTTTTTATGGAGTAACGCAATATTGTAATGCATTATTTTAAAAGTAACTTTCCCCCACACTGCCTAGCTTCTGATAGGCTGAAGCAAATAACTCTTAGGCATGCAGTAGGTATGGCAAGAGGACACAGCATCTTGTTACCTTCTCAGGGAACCGTTGTTACAGTCGTGAACTGAGACATTCCCTTTTGAGGGAACTCACACTGCATCCAAATGATTACACTATGGGGAACAAAACTCCGGCATATACTGAGAAATGCCTGTCCTGGTGTGAAACTGTCTTGGCATGACTAAGGACGAAAGCACTCGACAGTCTGTTGTAGAAGGCAGGTCCAGACTTTAAAATCTTTTCAAATATAAAAGGTTTTGAAGTTGCCACACTTCTGATGGAATGAGCCTTTACCACTAGAGTTGAAGGCATGTCCCGCACCTCATATGCATTACATATCGCTTCCACAATCCATCTGCTAATGGTCTATTTAGAGGCTGGGGACCCCTTCTTGGGGGTCCCGAAGCATACCAATAGCTGGTCAGTTTTTCATCAGTGAGATGTTCTTCTAACATAAGTGTCGAGGGCCCCAACAGGGCACAGTAAGTTAAGCTTCTCAAGATCCGCCGACACAAAGGGAGGGGGATAAAAAGCCTGCAAAACCATGGAACGAATGGAGCAAATTTAAGGCAGGAAGGGGCAACTGACAGCGCCTAAAGGTCTCCTACTGTCTCTAGGCAAAGTGATAGCTAGCAAGAACACAATCTTTGCCTTTTGGGGACACTTAATATCATTAATTTCATTCAGGAAGGAAGCCCATCTTTAATAAAAATTCAAACTTTAAAAAAATGTTGGATAAAATATACGTATTAGATGAAAAAACTTGAACTTAAAAAAACTTTAAAAATAGAAATGTTGCCTTGGCAACTAAATTAAATAAATAAGATGAAGCACAAAAATGACAGAAAATAAAACAGAAATTAAAATAAAATTAAAGTTATATAGAAATGTTTAAAAAATGATAAGAATGACAAAAGCCCATAACAAAATAAATAAAACAAACTAAAATTAAAAAGAAAACTGAAAAAAGTTAAAGCTTTAATATATATTTTATATAAATAGTATTTTCATGAAATTTACCCATTGTCAATATATTTTTATCAGTAAATATTTGAAGAGATGTGATGAGATGTGTGTGAGTTTTATCTGCAATGACCTACAATCCCTCTGACCTTTTTAATTGAATGCCGCCCTTTTCGCTAATCTCCCTTATTTTAATGTCACACTTGTGCCCTTCTTATTTGCCTTTCTTGTCTGCCTGCTCTTCAAAAGCCCATAACAAAATAAATAAAACAAACTAAAATTAAAAAGAAAACTGAAAAAAGTTAAAGCTTTAATATATATTTTATATAAATAGTATTTTCATGAAATTTACCCATTGTCAATATATTTTTATCAGTAAATATTTGAAGAGATGTGATGAGATGTGTGTGAGTTTTATCTGCAATGACCTACAATCCCTCTGACCTTTTTAATTGAATGCCGCCCTTTCGCTAATCTCCCTTATTTTAATGTCACACTTGTGCCCTTCTTATTTGGCTTTCTTGTCTGCCTGCTCTTGTGGTTTTCCACTGATTAAAGCTGGTCTTGCAATTGGGATTTTCATGTTAATAAATTAATACCAATGATCGCCCACCCACTCAGACCAGATCAGATTGGGAGAAGAACTCTAAATCCCCCACAAATCCCAGCGCTCAATCATGCCACTGCAGCTCAGCTCAATGTCCTACTAGTGAACTCAAAGCATCTGCAGCAAATGAGACATAGTTTGCAAATCTGACTTTTAAACTGAGCGTTTTAATCAAATGAAGTAAGGCAATAGCCAACCAGCTCTTTGGTAATGGTCAATAATGCATCTTTGGTAGTCGACGTGAGGCTCTCGGACCTTGTTTGGTTCTTTAAAGGAATGTTCTGAGTTCAATAGTAGCTAAGCGCTATTGACAGTATTTATGGTATAATATCACAGAAAATAACTTCCACCTGTCCCTCAGTGCATTTTTAAGTAAAACTCGCAATGGGATTAACCTTTTTCTCTGTAAATTCCAACTCAGGATCATTGGAAATATGTGACTTTGCCTCTACGTGACTCCACATGAACCTGAAATATGTTGCTCCGTCTACATTTTGCTGCACTTTTCAGGTGACGCGTCCACAAGAAGCACTATAAGCCATATATTTTTTTCTCCATTGCAGATGCAGGTTTACTAAACAACCCAGTTTCATGAAAACAAACAAACTAATTATTTACTAAAAAAGGTGCCTATGTGTACAAAATGCTTGCAAACTGATATTGTGTCGCTTGTAGCTTTAGCATATACCACAGCAAGTTTTAAAGTGAAATGTCTAGTGACTGGCACTACAGGCGTGTACAGTTTTCTTCAAAACAGTTAAACCTGACTGTGGCAACATTTTTTTTTTTATTAATTAATTAATTTATTTTTATGTTGGTTGTTGTATGTATCAAAGCAGTTTGGAAATGAAATGTCATACAAAAAGTTACTCATATGGAGCGGTTTATGTGATGCAAAATGCTTAAAATGTATTCATTATTTCAAATCATGCACTGTGGTAAAAGTATTTTAAGGTCATAAGACAGTATTGTGGCAGGAACACTGCAAAAACAAGTGTTTATTAATCAATAATCTGTCCCATAATTATAATTTGTTTGAAAAGGGACTTTGTTGTTGGCGTTTTACTGCCACTAGTGTTTTCGTTTCAACTAGAAACTTCAGTGAAATGTATGTATATGTGTGTTTGCATTTTTTGCAGAAATGTAGGCAGAGTCATGTATTTCCAATTTCTAAATTGTTCTGTGTGATGCCTGAAAATCTGCTTCAGGTTTCACACAATATGTTCAAGGAAATATCTTTAAGACACTGTTCACCTTCGAGGGAACTCGAGCTGCATTATATGATGACACTTTGGGGGAACACCTTCACTGTGCAAGCGTCTGAAGCAAGTCTGAAATTAATCCAATCCTGATTGGTGTTGCTTCATGATGTAGCAAGTGATATGGCATGTGACGACAGACACGGAAACTACAAAAGGATGCCAGTACACAATAGAGATAGCT